CTTCTTGAATGCCCCTTGCAATGCTGCATAAAGAAGTTCAGTGCGTACATTTTATGTCAACATCTCTTGTACTTTACCCTTGTGCAAACTCTCTGAAAAAATCCTCCCATACTCTCTGAAAAAATCCTCCCATACTTCGATAAGACGTCCCGGTTTGAGTCTGTTTTAAGTTCCTTGTGGGTTTCCTGTTGGTGTGGAAAGAATGTCTCTGTTCTGTGTCAAAACATTAATAACCTCCTCAGAAAATGGAGTTATTTTCTTTAGAAACCCGGCAAACACATGTCTACGTTCTTATAACGTTCTTGGCGAATGTTGTTGTTAGGTATGTCACAAAATAACGTTTACACAACGTTGTGAAATTATGTTCAGTATGTATTTATGGTTCTACAAAATAAAGTTTTCAACACAAAACTGTAATTATTGTCACGCTATCATAATGTATTATTGTTTGCTTGGAAGGTCGTTACTACTCGCGTAGTAGCTCACCTCTCCTTAAGTTGAAACAGGAAGCTTTTCAAAGTCTTGGATGTGTTTGAATAAAGTTAAAAACAATCGACGCGTAGATATAGGCCTGCTTGTAGATATCATCTTCATTATGATATATGATATTTGGATTATTAGACTGCTCAAAATTTAATAAAGTATTCTAAACAGCAACAAAATATTAGAAGATTTGCTACTGTTAAATCACGAGCTGCAATTTGTCAATTTTTGAAGTGCTTTTCCCACGCTTTGCAAGAACTGGTTGAGTAGACGCGCGTACATCCCTCTTATTTGCGGTTTGCTCTAATTAAATGGTGTCTCAAATGTACGAAAACAAGACTGATAAAAGTGCGTCTAGCTCGCAAAGTTGCAAAAAGTAGCAGCTAAATTTGGTACCATCATAAAGCTAAGGCTATACTGAAAATGGTGATGTAAAAATTAAAGCATGAATCCACATGAATCTAAACTTTCTCTCCTACTATTCTAAAAATAGATTTTTAAATATTTTTTCTGTCGTTTAAACAACGATTTATTATTGATGCAAACTTCAAATTTAAACCAAAACATATATTTGTGTTCCCCAATTTATATACAAGAAACCTGTGCATTTTGAAAATTCCGAATTTTCTTTAAGAAAAAAAAAACGTGTTTTGATATAATGTAGTCAATTATAGCATTTGAAATATTTATAGATAAATTTCCGACATTTTTTGAAAAATACTACCCTTAAAATTCGTTTAAATGTAAAATATTTTCAGGATAGATTCACCAGGGTATACCCATCTTCAATCATGTGAAAAAAGTGTAAAAGCCATAGTCACCAAAATGGACTTTTGGCACACTTTGATTTCGTCCTGGCCCACTGTGCGCCGTCGGAACCGCAAAAAAAATATATACAAAATGATAAAAAAAATAAATGTCTAAAGATTAAAAATACGGTACATAAAATTACATAAAAATTCAGTTTCACATTAAATATTACATACATAGGCCTATTACATTAAAGGTAGAAATATTACAATTAAAAATATCAAATAAGAGACTGGCAAATAACAGAAAAGTCTACACCCTGAAAAAAATTGAAATTTTGACAATGTTTAGAGGTATAAACATATAATTACAATTAACTATGTATGAAATGTTGGGGTTAGTCACCACACAAGGCTTAAGCGGATAAAGCCAGCCCTGATTACTTGCTATTTTTGGTTTCCAGATGCTATTTTTTGGGTATCACAGATGCCATAATTTCATAATTTGTTCAGATCATGCATGCTGTTTCTGCCCCTTGCTGGGGAGTGGTATTTGGCTCTATAATTGCCAGTTGCTATTTTCGGGCATCCCAAAATTATACTTTAATTTGCTTAGGCCTATAAAATCTTTCTTCCTTTACACTCGCTACAAGATGACGGCACTAGAATGGGCGCTTCGTTTGTGAATTCAAAACTTGAAACGGGACACCGGAACTGCCAAAGACAGATAGTTCATTGGCTTAAGTCCGATGGTGCCATCATCGCTAGCTTCATTCACACAAACTGGTATTTCCACTGAGCATGCGCACACACTTATTAAATAAAAAGTACCGCAATGGAGCATTCATGTCATAACTGTTGCTACGTATAACGTCTTAAAAATAAAGTATAATTAACAGTGGGTCAGAGG